CTTTAACCACTAGGCTACCTGACCGCCCCTCCTCTTGGGAGTTACCAAGATGTTATACATGTGGTTGTCACCAACCAGTAATTGTAAACCATATTTTGTCATTACAGACAGGTTATTTCCAACAGGTTGAAAAATATTTGCCCACCAGATTATGTGAAGTGTTTGCCAAGAGACCTGGAAAAGAATTATAACCGTCTGAAAGAAACAAAAACTCCAGGCATGGTTGCTTTTTTATTCAATTCGATATTTAAATCGTATCATAGATGCTGTATGCTTAGAGCACTTTGCTCATCTGTCTGGGGGATACATTTTCTCCTTTGAGACGGATTACCCAGGTCGATCTTGACAGGACTGAGACACGGCTTGATGATGTTTACCGTATTTTCTTGAGTATAGTGCTCACTTTTTTCAGAAAATAAAACCGCACAGAGGGGGACACTCCAACATATGGTTTCTGGTATTTTTCTCCCCATGGGTAAACAAAACATCCAGTATATATACCGGACATCAAGTGTCAACGAACGGAATAAACTACTGATACTGTTTTCTATTCGTCTGTTTTATTTTTATATTTATATGAACATTATTAGATTAAATGATCATTGATTAGCCTTATCTGAATTGTTACATATGTATTTTTACTCATATCATTTTAATATAGGCTATATAGGCTATTGAAACATGTCATTTTAGCTGAAATTCTGCATGAGGCAATCCCACATTAATTTACAGCTACACCAACTTGACTGACGCCATCTGCGACTTGTTGTTGATGAAGAACGAATAGATATATATTACATAATTATGTCTGTGTAAAACTCTCAGTATTAAAAGTGTACATAAATTTTGGGAGCCATGCGTTACCGCGCGTAGTAACCGAGGTAGCGCTTTATCGAAGAGCCCAATAGCGAGGGATCACTGTATATCCAATATGTCGACCCATAAGAAGTCGAAATTGTTGTTATTTGTTCTGTTATAGACAATGTTTTGATTTTTTTCATTGTGGTAGCGTGGCTCAATCCAAGTCACTGATTGGTCTGACTGGTGTCCAGTGAAAACTGTCCCATACCCCGGGAATGACCCCTGACATTATATTGCAGTAAAGACAAAACAATTCTACTGTTATAAATTAATTTAAATTTCTTACAAGCCATCATTCTTTTCATTTATCATACATTCCAGTCATCACATCACATATACATTTTAAACACTTCCAAATATACATATAGTACAATCACAATGTACTTCAGATTCATATCAATAAATACAAATAAATAATAATGAATAATACATTAATAATACACGGCTATGCCACCATCATCACATAGTCACATGCAACATACATTACTGTATACAACAATCACTATTGTTTCTGTCACTGTTTCATAGGTTTCATAATGTTTATGATTCATTCTTAAACAGCTACATCACTGACCAAGCCCACGAAGTCAGTGTCGGTTTCATCATTAAAGATGTTGTCCATGACAGTGTCAGTGATATTGTCAGCATTATACACTTCCTGGGCGTCATCTTCGTCGTCAGTGGGTAACTTTTTAACTTCGTCTTCGGACAGTATTTCATCTTTGGTTCCATCCAAGGCATTGGTTATACAGCACTTCTTGAATGAATGGGTTACCATTTCCTCTGGGAGTTCAAACCAAGCTTCCAGAATCCAGGTACACATATGCCATATCAGGACGACGGATGCGGCCAGTTGCCGCTGCTGTTGTCTGCTGCCCTTCTGCCATCCACTGGTTCCACTATGATCGTAGAATTGACTAAAATGGCTTGTTCAAAGAGACGTCCAGTGGCTGAAGAAGACTTGTAAGCCCCCAAGGTATGACAGCTATATCTGTCTTCATGGTTTTAAACTGTCTCTTCACTGATGGCAGGCGATGGCATCAGAATGCATCTGATACTTGTTGACTTTTCTCCCTAAGCAGGTCACCAGATCTCCTCTCCCACACTGTTCTGACCCAATCTTCAGTCATATCTCCATAAAACCAGCCCTTCTCATGTTCGCGGACTTCGACTCCTTTGGGAAAAGGTTCGTTCTTTGGCAGTGTCTTCCTCTTGAAAACGACATAGGGCGTTAGCTTGTTGCCGTCTCCTGTGACACAGAGCATAACCATGAAGCAGTTCTTTTCACTCCCTGTTGTTCTGATTGTAACGGTCTTTTCTCCTTTGAACCTGACTGTCACCTGGTAAGGTGTGTCGAAGGTGACAGGTGTTTGGTCTGCATTTCCTATCTGGGCAAGGCTGTAATTCTCTCTCTCTCGTGACTTGATAACAAATTGCTGACACTCTTGAAGCTTGTCTTCAAAGTCAGCTGGCAGTCTCTGTGCAATGTGTGTCTTCTTCTGGCTGACAGTTCATGACGACTCATGAAGTTACAATCCCACCCAATGCTGGCCTTGAAATCACCTTGGGAGAATATAAGTGCAATAATCTTGGACGCGACGTTAAACCCCATTTCACCTCACCTCACCTTGGGAGATGCCTAACTTCTTGGCGATGTCGAGGCGCTTAATGCGGATATCAGTCGTACTGATACCCACACCTGCCATCTGATGCTCCTTCACCCACTCTATCAGCTCTACCTCAACGGCGGGGAAGGCGGCTGACTTTCCCCTGTCTGCTTTCTTACTTTTTGGCATGACCACCAACTTTGACTTGTTTTTTCTCCACGGTCTGACTCAGAACACCCATACGTCCGTCCAGCCGCTCGGATGCCATTTTCCTATGCATACGCAACAATCCTTAATTTCTGTCCACATGTGTTGGATGTTCTCTTCGACACCATGATTAAGAATGATGAGAAATAAAATTTCAGTCTTAAATACCTGTATGTGTTTTTACAAATCTACTCAGTAACTTTATCGGTAAGTACCAGTAAGTAAGTACAATTGAATAGATTATTTAGGGCCTATTGTTTAAAAATAACTTCAATCAGGCTTTTCTTCATTGTTTGTGCTTACCCCTCTCCCACATAAACAATGTCAAAGTTCATGGTGTCAATTCGTGTATGTACATCAGACAGCATTATTTTTATTCAATAGGCAGTTGTCTTTATTCACACAGTGGCACAATGTACACATGACAATGATGTTTTGTACAAGTTCTCCGCTGACCTTTGATATGATGACTGTATCTGAAATGTTTCAAGAAAATATTCGACTGCTCATAATACTCGAAAAATCCTTCTTTCCAAAATATTGCATTCCCCAGAGGTGCATGGGTTCACACTATACTCAAGAAAGTACAGTACTCAAAGCGTATCCATTCCCTGAGTTTCAGTCCAAATGGTTTCCCATTTCCTAAGAAATAGAAGACTTTACCATGGTACACAATGGTCATCAAAGACTTTACCTTGGTACAGCATGGTCATTGAAGACTTTACCCTGGTAGACAATGGTCATTGAAGATTTTACCCTGGTAGACCATGGTCATTGAAGACTTTACCCTGGTAGACCATGGTCATTGAAGACTTTACCCTGGAAGACCATGGTCATTGAAGATTTTACCCTGGTAGACCATGGTCATTGAAGATGTTACCCTGGTAGACCATGGTCATTGAAGATTTTACCCTGGTAGACCATGGTCATTGCAGACTTTACCCTGGTAGACCATGGTCATTGCAGACTTTACCCTGGTACACCATGGTCATTGAAGACTTTACCCTGGTAGACCATGGTCATTGAAGACTTTACCCTGGTAGACCATGGTCATTGAAGACTTTACCCTGGTAGACCATGGTCATTGAAGATTTTACCCTGGTAGACCATGGTCATTGAAGACTTTACCCTGGTAGACCATGGTCATTGAAGACTTTACCTTGGTAGACCATGGTCATTGAAGACTTTACCTTGGTACAGCAAGGTCATTGAAGACTTTACCCTTGTAGACCATGGTCAATGAAGACTTTACCGTGGTAGACCATGGTCATTGAAGACTTTACCGTGGTAGACCATGGTCATTGAATACTTTACCCTGGTACACCATGGTCATTGAAGACTTTACCGTGGTAGACCATGGTCATTGAAGACTTTACCCTGGTACACCATGGTCATTGAAGACTTTACCCTGGTAGACCATGGTCATTGAAGACTTTACCCTGGTAGACCATGGTCATTGAAGACTTTACCGTGGTAGACCATGGTCATTGAAGACTTTACCATGGTACAGCATGGTCACTGAAGACTTTACCATGGTACAGCATGGTCATTGAAGACTTCACCATGGTACATAATGGTCAATAAAGACTTTACCTTGGTACATCATGGTCATTGAAGACTTTACCCTTGTAGACCATGGTCATTGAAGACTTTACCCTGGTAGACCATGGTCATTGAAGACTTTACCCTGGTAGACCATGGTCATTGAAGACTTTACCCTGGTAGACCATGGTCATTGAAGACTTTACCCTGGTAGACCATGGTTATTGAAGACTTTACCCTGGTAGACCATGGTTGTTACGTATTGATGGCTTGAGAGTTACCTCCCTTACTGTACGCATATAGGCATGACGTCACTGTGAGCGTCGTCTGATGGCCTTCTAGAAGCTGAGAAGTAAATTCAATGACCAACCACTTCTAGTTGGCATAAGTTTGTAGTGATGAAGTCAAGTAGCATCAAACACTTAACATGGTGTCAGAAGTAAAACTTAGATTGCTATCATAACATTGGACTGTGTTGAAATTCCCTATTCTGACTGTTTCTGTTCCCTGTCTGACTGACCGTGTGCGTTTCTGATGCATGTCACCTATTTTCGTGATACCGATACGGCGTGGTAAATCTACTGAACTGTGTCATATTTTGTTGTGAAATTTGATATATACTCTGACTGTAAGGGATTTCAACCAGTAATCTAAACTGTTTCTGATATGATCTATGAGAACAACGGTGTTTTCTATCTGAACTGACTGAATACTATTCTGTGTGTAATTGAATCTACGGAAAGCCATTACGCCATATTGCTTGATTACTGTTTTAGACTGATCATGGCAGAAGGTAATCAGGCTGCACTCCAAGTTGTTCACATACCAGTTAACATTCCACTGCCTACTAGATTAGATCTGAAAGGTGATCTGTCTAGAAATTTCAAGAAATTCAAACGAATGTGGGAAAATTATGAACTTGCTTCTCGCACTAAGACTGATAGTGAGGAATGTCAATCGGCTACCCTATTGACATGTATTGGTCCAGATGTCTTAGACATTGTAGATGGATTAGAATTTGAAAATGAAGCAGATAGACGGAAGGTGGACAAAATACTGGAAAAACTTGAACATTATTGTATAGGGGAAACAAATGAAACTTGGGAAAGATACAATTTCAACAGAAGGGACCAGGAACAATCCGAGTCCATTGATCCTTATGTTGCAGTATTAAGAAATCTTGCAAAGAGTTGCAACTATGGGGATTTAGCGGAGTCATTGACCAGTGACAGGATGGTAATGGGCATCTGCGATAATGCAACAAGAAAGAGATTGTTACAAGCTTCAAAACTGTCTTTAAAGGACTGCATAGATATTTGTAGGTCGCATGAAAGTGCGACGAGACGTCTGAAATCACTATCGCAAGCTGAAGATGTTCAGTTTGTAAGTCAAAGGAAACCCAACAAGTCACAGAAACCTAATGCTAAGCAACAGATCAAAACATCTGAACTGCTCAAATGTAAGTTCTGTGGAAAGAGGCATGAGTTTCAAAAGAAAGAATGTCCGGCATGGGGTAAGACTTGTGCAAAATGCAAAAAGAGAAATCACTCTGCTGCTTTGTGTCCTGGAAAGAGCAAAGACAGGGTTCACATGGTGGATAGTGATACTGAAGATAGTGAGTCTGAAGAGTTTGTAATGTCTGTAACTTCTGACTGTGTCAATTCTGTACAAGTTGATGAAATGAACTTGGTCAATCAGAATTACCCCAAAAAGATATTTGCAACATTGGTTGTGAATAGAGAGGAAGTTGAATTTCAACTTGACTGTGGGTCAACTGTTAACATTCTGCCTTCTTCTGTGTATACTCAAGTGTTCAGGGATGACAACTTCAGTAAATTGGACGCTAATCTGATTTCCACAATGCGAATGTAGACAAAACCTCTTGGGAAGATACGTGTGTCACTACAAAACCCCAAGAATGGCCGCAGGTACAGTGTTGAGTTTCTAATTGTGTCTGAGAAGGGTTGCAAACCAATATTAGGGGCACGAGCTGTTCAACAGATGCAACTGATCACTGTGAACTTTGACAATATTCTGTTGATGGAATCACCCGAGGTGAATCTAACTGCTGACTCTTCACTTGAGCCTGGGAAACTGGAAATCACTGATATCAAACAAAATTATCAGGATTTGTTTGATGGTGAGGGAACTCTGGAAGGCTTTCTACACTTGGAGGTTGACAATACTGTAACCCCAGTACAGTTACCTTGTCGCAAGATTCCTATTGCTGTACAATCTCAGCTGAAATCTGAACTGGAAAGACTGACGGAGCAGAAGATTATTACACATGTTGACATACCAACAGACTGGGTGTCAGCTTTGGTGGTGGTGCAGAAACCGAGGACAAACAAAATCAGGATTTGTATCGACCCGAAACCGTTAAACAAGGCACTTAAGAGAAACCATTATCCGATAATGACTATAGATGATGTGTTGCCTAAGTTGGCCAAGGCCAAATGTTTCTCTTTGGTGGATGCCAAAAATGGGTTCTGGCATGTTCAGTTGGATGAACAGAGCAGTTACCTGACCACGTTTGAAACTCCCTGGGGAAAGTACCGTTGGCTCCGTATGCCATTTGGCCTCTCACCAGCTCCTGAAGAGTTCCAACGACGACTGAATGATGCCATATCTGGACTGGATGGTGTTCGTGCGATTCATGACGATATCTTAGTTTACGGCGTGGGAGAAACTGATTAGGATGCTGAGGTCGATCACGACAAGAAATTGATCGCCCTTTTTAATTGTTGTCGAGGGAAGGACATCAAACTGAAAGAGTCTAAACTGAAGTTGAAACTGCAAAAAGTGCCCTACCTGGGTCATGTACTCACTGCTGATGGACTCCAAATTGATGAGACCAAGGTTGAGGCTATCAAGAAAATGCCTTCACCTACTGACAAACAAGGTGTGCAACGCATCTTGGGGATGGTCAACTATGTGCAAAAGTTTGTACCCAATCTCTCTGAAATCACCGCTCCACTGCGAGATCTGCTGAAAGGTGAAGTGAACTTTCGATGGGACAACACTGTACATGGACAGTGCTTGGAGAAGATTAAGCACATTCTGTCAGAACCTCCTGTTCTGAAATATTTTGATAATGAAGCTGTCACATATCTCCAATGTGATGCTTCACAAAGTAGCCTCGGAGCATGTCTTATGCAAGATGGACAACCAGTGGCATATGCATCCAGATCAATGACAAGCACAGAGCAACATTACGCTCAGATAGAAAAGGAAATGCTTGCAATAGTCTTTGGACTGGAACGTTTTGACCAAATGTGTATGGACGCAAGGTGACCATAGAGACAGATCACAAACCTTTAGAGTCCATCTTGAGAAAGAGCCTCCTGAGCGCACCTAAAAGGCTGCAACGCATGATGCTACGGTTGCAGAAGTACGACTTTACAGTGGTGTACAAGAAAGGAAGCCTGATGTTCATGGCTGACACATTAAGTCGTGCGTACTTACCACATGACAGACAATTGATCACTGATGAAGGCCAAGTGTTGATGATAGACATGAGGAGCCCAACAGCTATTGACATTGAGACAATTCAAATAGTCGAGCATTTATCCATATCTCAACAGAGACTAGCTGAACTGAAACAAGCCACAAGTAAAGATACTTGCATGAGCAAGCTGATGCAGCTCATACAGCAAGGCTGGCTACCGTCAAAGGAAGATGTACCACACTCAGTACGTGAGTACTTTACCTTTCTGGACGAACTCTCTATGAAGAATGGCATAGTATTCAAGGGCGAGCGTGTTGTTGTACCTGCAAGTATTCGTGGCAACATCATGGAGAGAATTCACTCAAGCCACATCGGTGTGCAAGGGTGTATACGACGAGCAAAAGAACTTGTCTACTGGCCGAACATGGGACAGGAGATAATAGATCTTGTAAGCAAGTGTGAAACCTGCAACACCCTACAACAAGACCAAAGCAGGGAGCCTTTGATCAGTCATCATATTCCTACTCGTCCCTGGGAGAAACTGGGATGCGATTTGTTTGAGTTTGATCAGAAAGACTTTTGATTACTGTGGACTATTATTCCGACTTCTTTGAAGTTGACAGACTCCACAGCAAGAAAGCTCCTGAAATCAACAAGAAGCTCAAGTCACATCTAGCTAGACATGGGATTCCAAATCAGATTATCTCCGATAATGGTCCACCGTTCAACTCTGAAGCTTTTCGTAAGTTCTCAGACAACTATGAATTTGAGCATGTTACGTCGTCACCTCGTTACCCACAATCCAACGGGAAAGTTGAAAGCGCGGTGAAGATAGCTAAGAAGCTGATGACAAAGTCACTACATGCCCAAACTGATCCTTACTTAGCTCTCCTGGACTGGCGAAACTGAGGGAATAGGATTTTCTCCGGTACAGCGACTCTTTAGCAGGAGAACAAAGACCAAACTCCCAACAGCAAGTACACTTTTACAACCAAAGACCGTTGATGGTGTGTCAGACAAGATAGCTTGTAGAAAATCTAAACAAGCTTACTACTTCAATAGAGGCACCAACGAACTTCCTGCTCTGAAGGAGGGAGATGTGGTAAGAGTCAAGCCTACTAAGTTCGACAAACAGTGGAAGAAAGCTGTTATAGAACAACAGGTGGATGTGAGGTCGTATGAACTGCGTACAGAAGATGGCAGTAACTTGCGCAGAAACAGACGACATTTGAGAAAGTCTCATGAAGCTCCTCCATTGTTTGTGTATACAGATATGGCTGAAAGGAACCGGTTAGAACCAGATCTCTGTGTGGAAAGAACTTCCGCTGAAACTCCTATGAGGAACTGTACTGACAAGCCTGTAGACCAAACATCAAGCAAAACTACAGAGAGAGTTCAGATTCCTGCACAGACAACTAGACAGTCAAGTGAGACAACTGAAAAGAGAACTTCTCGTGGTCGTGTGATCAAACAACCGTCTAGATTCAGAGGTTATCTTACAAATTAAGAACTTTAAAGTAAAGCTGTTTTGCAGTAAAATTGTGTTATGGACTGTAAGCCTGTTTGAAAGGACAAAGAACTGTTTAGTTTTTATTTTATGAACTGTGTGCCTTACTAAGGACGAAATCAATTCATAACTGCATAACTTGTGTTGAAAGTTTGGGAAGTGTTTCAAATATGCTTTCGGTTTTCAGCAACTGAGCTGTTAAGAACAAAGACTTGTTTTACCATTAGTATTGCATTAATGTTTCAAGACTTTAAAGGTTACCCTTAAAAGGGGAGATGTTACGTATTGATGGCTTGAGAGTTACCTCCCTTACTGTACGCATATAGGCATGACGTCACTGTGAGCGTCGTCTGATGGCCTTCTAGAAGCTGAGAAGTAAATTCAATGACCAACCACTTCTAGTTGTCATAGGTTTGTAGTGATGAAGTCAAGTAGCATCAAACACTTAACAATGGTCATTGAAGACTTTACCATGGAATAGCATGGTCATTGAAGACTTTACCCTGGTAGACCATGGTCATTGAAGACTTTACCCTGGTAGACCATGGTCATTGAAAACTTTATCGTGGTAGACCATGGTCATTGAAGACTTTACCATGGTACACCATGGTCGTTGAAGACTTTACTATGGTACACCATGGTCATTGAAGACTTTACCCTAGTAGACCATGGTCATCTTGAACACAGCCATGGTAATGCCATGTTAATACCATGGTAAACTGTGGAGACCATGATTTAACATGGTGGACATTTCGTTTGGGTTGGAGTATTTCATACTGTAACTGGGGTCCTTTCCAAGATGGTGACCGCTTCTTGCTTTCCTTCTTCCATTGTCCACTGTGTACAAGAGGTTCATACAGGCTTGAAAAGGCCTCCAGTTTAAGGTTCTATTGAAAAGCCTTGATGTTTAGTGTCAACCTTGAAAATCACCAAAATAGCTTGAAAACCCTTGAATTTGTACAAGATGACATATGCTTATTAATTTAAGTTTTGATATTCATGATAAACTCAATTAATTTTATTTGTAGGTGATGAAAATAAATCTTGTTGGAAAATATGTGATGTTAAACTGCTTTAAAGGTCTCATGATGGATTTAATAAAAATATTGACAAAGGCAGAAGCAGTGTCAAGTATGTACACCATTTCATCCTCTGTATGCCTGCCAGACAATACGTCCTAGGCCATCATATAACAGAAAAAATCATTTGTGCTGAAACTGCACATCTGCTATTTATTGTGTACAACAAGATATATATGTGTCATTCCATCTGCATCTTCACAAAGCTCTGAAGTGAGTCTTTAGCCATAAAACCAGACATAAAAAATAAATTCATGAAACAACAATCCTACTGGTGGGGAGATATTTGCATTTAATGGTGGCTGAAATGCAGGACTTTTTATGATTGCAGTGTTTGGTTTTATTACTGACCATTTAAAACCTGTGGAATTACCTCCCAAGTCCAAGCATCATCTGAAACTGCTTCACATGTGATTATGCTTCAGTTTTGTTTTGAGTCCCCACTCCATGGGTGATTGGGAGGAGGGATCTACCAAAACAAATTCGGACCAGGTCATTCTGAAACATTCACATTTCTAGACCCGTGAAGATTCCGGGGCAGAATAGGTCTTCAGCAACCCATGCTTGCCATAAAAGGTGACTATGCTTGTCGTAAAAGGCGACTAACGGGATCGGGTGGTCAGGCTCGCTGACTTGGTTGATGCATGTCATCGATCCCAATTGTCTAGATCGATGCACATGATGTCAATCACTGGATTGTCGTGTCCACATTCGAATATTTACCGCCCGCCGTCATTTAGCTGGAATTTACAGACCGTCGTCATATAGCTGGAATATTGCTGAGTGCTGCGTTAAACAGCAAACCAACCAATTGCAACCAATCACATTTCTAAATTGG